GTCCATGCAGCGATAACCCCGAAACGAAGGTGGGTAACCAAAGAAGACACAAGGAGTTGATCGATATTCAATTTTATGACGGTTATAGGGCCGGAGATACGAATAACAGAGGCAACCGAATACACGTAGATACGTGTAAGTGAGTGCCGACTTATATAGCTGCAAAAAAGGTGTATTAAATTGTATGGAGGAGGATGGTAGACGGTTTATTAGATAAGTGGCCAGTGTAGTCCCAATACCGTTGCAGGACAGATGCTTGGGTCATTAAAGCTAAACCGGTCTCGACAATATGTTGATGTCGGCGCTCTACGCGGTCGTTTTGTTCGTGTGTATAGGCACATGACTGTCTGTGAACGATCCCTAGCGAGGTAAAGATTTTATGTAAGCGAAGATACCCCCCCCCCCCCCCCCCTAAATCAGACTGGATGGACTTGATAGAACGTGAAAAGGTACGTTCTACCATAGGCCGGAAATTTTCAAACACTTTATAAATGTCAATTTTAAGTCGACGAGGATAATACCAACAAAAGCGGGTGTTATCATCTACGAAGAGTACAGAATAGCGGCACCCCTCCGTAGAAAGAACAGGTGTGAGGCCCCAAATATCTGTGTAAATGAGGTCTAATACATTAGTGCTTGATTTTGCTACTCTATCTAATGGAAATCGACATGATTTTCCAAGCTGACATGAGGAACATAAAGTAGAAACTACATTTTTATTGGACTCAACCGGGCAATCCCGTAAGACACGTTGGAGAGCTTGACTGTGTGGGTGACTGAGACGCTGATGCCAGACCACGGAAGACGCACGGGCTGTAACAAACGCGAAATGAGACCTCAGAACCGACAATGTGTATAAGCCCCCAGAGCTAGGTCCTTTAAGAAGCACCGCCTGTGTATTGCAGTCCTTCACAACAAAGAACGTAGGGTGAAATTCAAAGAAGCAGTTATTATCTTTGGTGAAACGATTAATAGATGACAATGACACAGATAGTTCAGGGACATGCAGAATATCAAATAATTTTAAAGACATTGAAACAGACGGGATTAACGCATGACCAACACTCGAGATCGCCAAACCTGTGCCATTACCCACTCGGAGAACATCCCCGCCGTGATACTCCTCGGGATGCGTGATCAGGCCGAAATCCGGGGTGGCATGCGCTGACGCACCGGTATCTGGCAACTAAGCTGTGGCCTCCGATGCACCGCCCTCTCTTGCGATGGCAACATGCGCCTGGGACGGTGGAGATTCGGAATAACGCTGGTAACAATACACGGCCGTATACCCTTGTGACTGGCAGATCTGGCAATGCGGTGCACCTCTTCCTCGGCCACGACCACCACGGCCACCACGATGATTTTCCCCACGCCCTTGTCCACCGCGAGAGTGTCTGCCACCCTCGTATTACTGCCGCCTGCCTTGTCCGACGTATAGCGCTGAAGGTGCTACGCCCGTCATCACCGGCGACCCGACCAGATAATCATCCGCATGGATGAACTGCTACGCCTGTAAGTAATCTGCCAGTTGGGGAATCGACATCGGCGTGCCGATGACTGCCAAAGAGGCTACCATCGCCTGGAACTCCATCCGCAACCCCTTGAACACATACAGATTTTGTTCTGTGAGCGTCATATTCTGGCCGACCAAGGCGAGCTCTTCAACCAGCAGTTGCGCTCGTCGCAAGTACTCCGATGGAGTGCTATCTCCTTGCCTCAAGGACTGGAACTGCCCCAAAAGGTTGAGACACCGGACATGCATCGATGAACCGAGTGTAGTCTCCGCCGCCTTCCACACGCCGCGAGAGGTGGTGTAGCCAACCGCCAAATACATGACCTCCTCGGACATGGATAAGATGAGGAGCGAGATAATAGAGGCGTCCTGTTGCACCCACGCGACGTAGGCGGGATTGGATGCTGCGGAGATGGTGTCGTCAGAGTTGTCGCCGACGGGAAACTCCAAGACCGGCGACGGACACGAGTGATCTCCATCTACGTACCCGAGTAATCCTTACCCGCGAAGGAACGGGATGAGTTGTGTTCTCCAGAACAGATAGTTGCGATTGGTAAGTTTTAGTGACACAAAGTGGTGTGCACTATTGAGGGAATTTGGGTTGGTGTTTGGGGAAGAAACGGTGGTGGTGGTGAGAGAACACTCGGAGGAGCTCTGTGACATTGTCGAAAGAGAGAGATGAGAATCGACGATTTGGGAGGAGAGAGAGTCCTGACTGGCTAACTGATACTAGATGAGAGTGGAATGATCAATTCATTCAGTAACAAACTCCAGAATACAATAATACAATCACGAATAGGAACCTAACTAATAGGCCTAAGACTAGATCAAATAATCTAAGCCACATAATATTTGTACAACAATATATAATAATAACTTATACTAACATTAACGAAGAAGGCACCATGGCTTCACTGTTTTGGCTGGCTAGAGCCATTAAAACGGGCTTTGTTTGCCAGCCCGTCCCGATCCGCTTAGGCCCGCAAGCTTGGCGGGACGGGCCTGACGGGCTGCGGGCTGTCCGCCACATTTTAAAAAATAATATATATATATATATATATATATATATATATATATATATATATATATATATATATATATATATATATATATATATATATATATATATATATATATATATACATATATTTGTATAATATTTTAGTGTCTGAGAAAATTCTATCTGGTGCAGTCAGAAAAATAAATTTGGAAAAAATACTTTCTAGACTCCTTTTTATTTGAATTTTGTTTAGGAGAACCTACACTTCCTGGAACAAAAAATTTTGGGTTGAAAATATGTTCCAGTAATCACATAAAATTCCATAAAGTTCTTGGCAGTGTGCTGTCTAGAAAAATTCTGTCTGACGTAGTTTAAGGAAAAAAATTCGAGAAAATTACATCTAGGCCTTGGATTGATATGAAAATTTTTGTGTATGTTCTAGACTTTATGAACTTCATATCTGGAAAAATTTGTATCAAAATTTGTTACCAAATACTCACAAAAAATTTCACAATCTAGGTAAAAAATTTCTGAATTTTTTGTCAATTCTAGTTTCTTGTACATATATATATATATATATATATATATATATATATATATATATATATATATATATATATATATATATATATATATATATATATATATATATATATATATATAATATTTTTTTATAAAATCTAACTATAACCTAATAAGTAATAACCATAACCGTAGTTTAATGTTTTAAATTTTTTTTTTTGGATGCTACTAGCTCTATTACATTGTAGTATCTGTTCATATACTTTCTCAACCTACTGAAACACAAAGAGCTAATAACACCTCCATACTAAGGCTCGAACTCATAACCTTCCAAATGGAAGTCCAACCCGGAGACCATTAGACCACATAGTCCTGGTAATGTTTTAAAATTTTAGAGTATGGACTTTATTAATTATTATTATGTATTATGTAATACCTAATGTTTGATGAACTATGTCTTATGTTAGTTATGTAACAAGTTATTTTAATTATTTTTAGAGTGTACAAAGGAAAAAGATGGGGGTCCGTGGGCCAGGGGTGGGCTGGGCTAGGCTAATAAAACCCAGGCCTGCCAAAGAGCAGGTTATTTTGGCACGCCCTGCCTCGCCAGCCCGCATTGACAGCTCTGTGGCTGACTTAAGCACTTGTTAATTTTTGGTGGGCTTCTCTTGGGCTTACTCATCTTGACTTTGTATATATTGATTTTTGGATTAATAAAATTATGATTTTATGAAAAAAAAACAAAACAAAACAAAACAAAAAACAATTTCTTTATGCTACTGATTCTATTACATTGTAGTATCTATTCAATGAAGCACAGAGAGTCAACAACACCTCCACTGAGACTCGATCTCATGACCTCCCACATGAGAGAGGTCACTAAATGCCATCTGAGCACAAGATGCTTAGCAAAAAACAAAAAATATTGATCCTCTATACTTTCATATTTATCTCTCAGAGGTCTTCTATAAATAGATATCTCCATTTATAGATGAAGATCTAAATATTAATAAAATATCTTACATCTATAAATAGATATCTCCATGTATCATGATAGATGTTTGTCTAAATATTAATAAAATATCTCTCTTTGTAGTCTTGTCTTTCCATTATTGTCTTTCTTGTTTTACTATATTATATTTACATATATTGATTGAATCTGTAACAAAAATGATACATTAATTCACATGGTTGAAAAATGGCTAGGCACTCCTCAGACACCCGGGGGGCGCCTAGGTGCCTGTGTATTTTTTGTTTTAAATTTTTAAATTTTTTTAAAACTAATAATTATAAACTATTTAATACTTTAATAATTAATACTAAAATATTAAATATTAATCTTAAAAAATATCTAGAGTTTGAACAATTTAGGATTATTTCGCTCAAAACGATATCGTTTTGCGTGAAATAACTCATTTAAAAATAACAAAGAACAATAGCTATTCAGCCGATTAAGCGGTCTAGTTGGTGCCTAGGAAGCCTAGTCGGCACTTAGAAATTCTAGGCGGTCAGCGCCTAAGCAGCCTAATAGGCGGCCTCGACTACCGATTATGGTAATACGCTAGGCGGTCGGTCTACGCTTTGGCGGAACTTTTATAACACTGTTAATTCATTCAACGAAACGTCTCAATTCACAACTTAATATACATTTCATTTACTAATAAAAGAGAATTCAATTAATTCTAAGAGATACTAATAAATCACAATTAATTCAATTAATACTAATAAAAATAGAGAAACGTATAAATATTTTAATCAATCAGACCCAAAATGAGACTAAGAAAACGATAAGTAAAGACACGAATAGGTCATCTTCTACATCATGAATTGGAGTGCTGGTATTTTATTAATTTGATTTGCCTCGAGAGTTTCAGGTGCTTAACAGTAACATTTTATTTTATTGCCTAAAAATTGAGAATATTAATATTTTACTCTTCAGTGTTGTTATATAATAAGATGCACTCCCTTGCTTTCAAATTATCATAATCTCTTTTCTTTAGAATCATAAAGGCTATACTAGGTAAACCTCCCTCTCCTTCTCCCCCTCCCTCCCTCCCTCCCTCCCCTATAAAGTTATAGCGACGAGTACATTGGTCACTATAACATTTAGTGACAATAGTGTCACTAATTAAATCTTTAGTATTAGCGATGAAATTTATAACTTATCATTGATAGGTTAGGGATAGGGTATACTCACCCCAAAAAAAAAGAAAACGTTATACTTGTCAAGGTAAATACCTTATTTTTCTTTATTTTGTGTATATATAAATATAAGTTCAAAAATATTTTAGTTGAAAATTATTTTGTGATTCAATAGCTTAGCAGACAGGGCCAAATACTAGTGCACACAGGAGATCTGTCCACTTTGAATATAATCTCCACACTGTCACTGTCGAAGTTCAAACCTTGAATTTCTTAACCCAATTAATACTGTTTGTTAAACCATTGAGTTGAACCATTAAACATATTCTAATAATGATTTGATATTTGTAGGGTGATTGTGAGGGGCAATGGTGACGATGCTGATCAAACAAAGTAATTATCATCTTATCTTGATATCCTTTACACTTCTCCTCTTGCCCCTAGCTTGTTTCTCCCGGTCTCATGTCCGGCGAGTGCTCCTCAGCCACGAAGCTGATAGCTACGCCGTTATATTTGACGCCGGAAGCACCGGCAGCAGGGTCCATGTTTTCCGTTTTAACCAAAACTTGGATCTCCTCCCTATTGGCGATGACGTTGAGTTTTTTGTCAAGGTATGAATTCAACCTACCTTTTTTGTTCATTTGTTCGATCTAGCTCTATGATTTTATTTATTTCCTATGGGCTTCAAATTTTAATTTTTTTCTTTTAAAAATGAAAATTTTGCATTATTTAATGGCACTATTATTGCGTTGACTGTGATTCTATCCACACAGCTGTGTGGACTATGGTCCAAAACACATGCACAAAGTACATTATTTTAACTCACAGAATACGTTATTCTAGCACATAAAGTACATTATTCTAACTCACAAAATATCTTACCCAAGAAATTTCATTATTCGATCACATAAAGTACATTATATATTACTCTAACTCATAAAATACATTGTTCTAACACATGAATTACATTATTCTAACTCATAAAATAAATTATCTTACTCCATAAACTTCATATATATAAAGTACATTATTTTAACACATAAAGTGCATTATTCTAACACATAAAATACATTATCTTACCCAAAATGTTAATTTTTCTAGCACATGAAATACATTATCTTATCTCAAAATGTTTATTATTCTAACACACATCTAAAGCAAGAATTTTTTTAACATCAAAACGACGTCATTTTAGACCATGGTCTATACAAATATATGAACCATGGTCCACACAATAATTTGCTCATTTTTACATACCGTATCTTTTCAAAAACCATATATAAAATAATGGAATAAGATTCAAATTGGCCACTGAACGTAATCTGGAAATGCAATTAGGCCACTGAACGAAAAAAAAAAAAAAAAAAGTACAATTAGGCCACTGAACACTCCAAATGTATGCAATTTCACCTGATAGCAGGTTACCATCAATTTTAATAGGTTACTTGCTTACATGGCAGCTGAGTTGACATTTTTAATAATTTTTAATAATAATTTTTTTAAGAAAACTAAATTAAAAACGACGGGTCGTTTTATTTTTATTTTTTATTTTTTTTATTTAATTTTTTTCAACTTTTTTTTTTAAATTTATAATTAAAATTTGTTTAAAAATTATTTAAAATGTCAACTCAGCTGCCACGTAAACAAGTAACCTGCTAAAATTGATGGTAACATGCTATCCAATGAAATTGCATACATTTAAAGTGTTCAGTGGCCTAATTGCACGTTTTTAGAGTGTTTAGTGTTCGTTCAGTGGCCTAATTGCATTTTCAGGTTACGTTCAGTGGCCAATTTAAACCTTATTCCTAAAATAATTAATATATATCCTTATCAATTGATTGATTTGGTCAAATAAATTAAAGAGAAGATCCAGAGAAGTATTATGGAGATACGACATTAATGATTAAACTATTGTAGTACTATACACACGAATACTAATTGTTTCCACTATAAAAAATGCAAACTGTTATTTTTTAGTATATACGATGATTTTATACTAACTGAGAAAATGTTTAAATAAGCTCTTAAACTTTATACAAAAAGTCAATTAGACCTTTAAACTTTTAGAAGTTGCAATTAAACTCACAAACATGTTATTTTGGAGTAATGAAACCCACTAACCCGTTAGTGATCTGTAGTTGCAAGTCAATTAGGATTCCAACCAACTCCAGCGGACTTTCGACCAAATTCCGACGAACTATGTTAAATACCAGCGACCGACGACCATTGACGATCGCCGGTCACGTTATGTCATTTAAGCCTCTCTAGTAGTCAGAGAAGGTGACCAAATTGATAGTATTTGCAGTCTAACTATCAATTAAAATTTTAATTGAGATTGGATACAAAAGAACTATGGAGGAGATTTCATTAGCAATATAAATAATTGTCATTAAGTATAAACTTTTAAATTAACATTGATTTGCAGATATCCCCAGGGTTGAGTTCATATGCAGATGATCCAGAAGCCGCTGCCAAGTCCCTAGAGCCACTCCTACAAGAAGCAGAAGGTGTTGTACCAATTGAGTTGCAACCTGACACACCACTTGAATTAGGGGTTAGTTAATAAACTCATATAATTATATTTATTAATCTAGATACTGGTTCAAATGAGCACAGAGCTTTTTGTGTGGATGGTGCGAATTGCACCATTAGGTATGCAAAAATGCACCACACAGTGTTTGAAAATGCGCCAAAATGAAATGCACAAATGCGCCACGTACACCTAATAGTGCATTTTCGAACACTTTGTACTTTGTGGTGCATTTATGCGTACCTAATGGTTCTGTGTGGACGATGCGGATTGCACCATTAGGTATGTATAAATGCACTACGCAGTGTTCGAAAATGCACTAGAATGAAATGTACAAATGTACCACAAAATGCAACACACCTAATGGTGCATTTTCGAATACTTTGTGGTGCATTTATGCATACTTAATGATGTGTGATCACACAACCACACGGAAAGCACTGTCTGCACGGAACCTGACCCTATTAATCTATTACTAATATCATAATTTCATTATTTAATAATATATGCTTATTGAACTCAATCAAACGCCATTGAAATAATTCAAATAAAATATGAACAATAATATTATAAAATTTAAATATTGTCACGTGACATATATTGTTTTATAAATCAAGATTTAAGCAATAATTTAATGATTTTATAGTTTTTTAGTAGAAAATAAAGTCATAGAATAATGAGCTAGCATATATATACTTTTTGATTTCATATATTGCAGAAATAATGTTTTGATTACATATAATTTGTTGGCAACACTACAGGCAACTGCAGGGCTTAGAATGTTAAGTGGAAACGCAGCTGATGAAATTCTGCAAGCAGTAAATATTTTCTGCTTTATTTATTTATTTATTGAAAATTCTATTAAGTATATACACAACTTAGTTACATTGATATATGTTTGGACATACAGGTGAGAGATATGTTGAAGAATGAAAGCAGTTTCAAGTACAAGGCTGAATGGGTTTCCATTCTTAATGGAACACAAGAAGGCTCTTACTTTTGGGTAATTAATTATATTATCTTGCCCCTAATAAGCCTCTTTTGACCTTTTAATCCATGTCTCTTTTATTTGATTTTTTTTTGGGGGAATAATATTTTTTCCCCTCCCCACCAACATAATATTTATTCAAAATGTGGACTAGCAATCTCCTTTTATTAAGAGATTATAATTGAGTTAATACTCAATATAGTTCTCGACTGAATTTCGATTGATATGCCTAATCGAGTCATCGACTGTTAGAATCAATGATTAAATTAAAAAAAAATCACTATATTTGAGGACTAAATTGGATAAATTCAATATAGTCGATGACTAAATTAGAAAAAAGTACTATAGTCCGTACTAAATTGGGTATTAATAGAGGGAAATTGCTAAACTATTTTACGAGAAGACTAAATTAGGATATTGACTCGATAAAACCTTTATCCTAAAGAATTTTAAGTATGGTATAATCCCCACACTGCCGCCGTAAGGATTTGAACCTTAGTCTCTTCTTCCAAATGTTGCCTACTGAACCATTTAGTTAAGCCCGGGCAGGCTAAAAAAAATATTATTCTATTTCAATGTGCAGGTTGCCATGAATTATTTGTTGGAGAATTTGGGGAAAGAGTACCAAAAAACCATCGCAACAATTGACCTTGGTGGTGGATCAGTCCAAATGTCATATGCCATCTCAAGGGACACTTTTGTTGATGCACCCATACCCGAAAATGGAGAAGAGCCTTATGTGCTGGAAAAATATCTCTTGGGGGCAGATTACTACCTCTATGTACACAGGTTTTATATATATGTCCCCAAAACTTTTGCTAAACTATTATACTAGTAACGTTTTAAAATAGTAAAATTTCAATGTTACATTATACTAGTAACGTTTTTTTAATATTGTGTACAGTTATTTGAACTACGGCCTGTTAGCAGGTCGAGTTGAGATTTTAAAAACGTCAGCAAACTCTACCAATGCTTGTATTTTAGAAGGTTATGACGGTAAGCTCTCTAGATTAACTATTGTCGTCATGTTTTCTTGTGAAGCGCACCCACTATATATATACAAGTAAAATGTGCAAGAAATTAAAGTAATTGTATCCGCACGGGCTTAGCTCAATGGTTTAGTGAACAGTATTTGGGACAAGAAATTAAAGTAATTGCAATGCAATGAATTGTGTGTAGGTTACTACACATACAATGGTGTTTCATACAAAGCAAAAGCTCCACCAAGTGGTACTAGCTTGAAGAATTGCAGGAAATTAGCCAGAAAAGTGGTTGATTTCAGGGCACCCTGTAAGTATCAGAATTGCACATTCAATGGGGTGTGGAGTGGTGGAGGAGGGGCTGGAATGGAGAATGTCTACATTTCGTCATATTTCTATGATATAGCATCTCAGGTAATTAAGAAACATTTTTTTAAGTTTAGTAAATATTATAGAGAATAAGATGTACAATACATTAAAATCGTTTGTATTTAATTATAGGTTGGTATTGTTTACCGACCAACTACGCCCTCTAGAATAATTAAGCCAAGAGCATACCTAGAAGCAGCAAAGGTAGTTTGTGCAACCAAGTATGATGATATGAAGTCTAGTTTTCCTAATGCACAAGAGGACTTTTATCCATACTTGTGCTTGGATTTGGTATACCAATACACATTGCTCGTGGATGGATTTGGTAAGTTCCATTAAAGGATCAATTAAGTGTCTAAACTTTATATGAAAAGTCAATTAACCTCTTAAACTTTTAAAAATAGCAATTACATTCTTTAACATGTTATATTGTGGGATTTGAGGCAATGAAGTCCAAAAACCGATAAATGACCTGCTATTATATTACATGTCCTTAGGGTTCCGGCATCAATTTTATCAATCTCCAGCAACGGCGAACTGATCGCCTTTTCCGGTAGAGCGACCAGTTTGTCACCTTCTCTGGTAGACGACGACCGGCGACGGTCGCCACCGGAGATGATAAAATTGATGCTGAAACTCTAATGACCTGTAATAGCAAGTCATTTATCGGTTTTGGACTTCATTGTCTCAATATAAAATGTTAAAGGGTGTAATTATATTTTTTAAAAATTTAAGGAGCTAATTAACTTTTCCAGTAAAGTTTAGAAATTTATTTGATCATTTTTTCTTTTTATTTTTAAATACAAACAATTTCTTGTTTTAGATAGGTACATATATTATTAAAATTTACTAATTTTATTGTCATGAAATGTATGTGAAACTTATAGGTCTACATCCTAGAAAGGAGATTACGGTGATAACTGAAGTTGAGTACAAAAACTACAAGGTTGGAGCAGCTTGGCCCCTTGGTTGCGCCATTGACGTCATCTCATCGTCAGCTAATAAATTGTCATCCAAATATTAAGTTACTGTTCTTGATTTAATAATGCTTTAATTTTGGTTTTATGCCAAAGTGGCCTGCTAGCTCATATAACAATCATGTTTATTACCGTTGCCAATAAATGTTTATCGATCACGTCAGGCCACCTTATTGGGTGCACATATTTCGCATGTGAACTTGTTGTAAAAAATGACGACAGATATTTTAAAGATAATCTAATCTAAACTATAATAAAGCTATATGGTTTGGTAGTAATTAATGTTACTTTCCAAACCATATAGTTAAGATTAATGTTACCATTAATTACCAACATTATTATTATTAGCTATAAATATAAAATAGCCACAACATGCATCCTTTACTATTAAAAAAAAAAAAGCACAACATTTAAAAAATAAAATAGTTATTTTTTTTCGCTCATAACAAATGATTACATTTATTGAATTAATGGAGTTATTAAATGTTATGATATTAGGATTAAGGATTCCGATTCCCGATTAATAGAAAATATGAAACGATGCAATATCAATTAAATCTCTGGCTTTACAAGCAATAAAAGTTATTTGATATGCTTTTGTTATTTATGGTGCTTCTTGGGATTACATTTATTGAATTAATGGAGTTATTAAATGAAAGTCTATTCGATATCTGAAACAGTGCAATTAATGCAAGCCTCTACATATAATTTTTCTCCCTCTCAAATGCTTCAAAGAAATGGCAGAAGCGAGAATGGATGAAGAAAGCAAATGCTGCGGGCCGTGGGTCAATTATTGGACTTCAGAATAATTTAAAAAAAAATCATTTGAGCAATAAATAAAAATTTAAATATATATAAATGTATATATCGTATGGGTCTTTAATGTTTTTCTGGATTTCTAAACTTAAGACTTTTAAAAGAAAAGAAATACATTTGAATTATCTCCATAAAAAGTGGTCTTGGACTTATAGAATGACATTTGGGTTCATGGAATGACATGTGCATATATAAAGAATATATTATATAATCATATAAAAAAAAATGTGTTCAATTAGAGTTTAAATTTACTCATACAAAATTTGAAATTTGCTTTCTAAATGTAATTATCTTAGTTATTATTCGTATTGTGAAAATTATAATATAGATGAAATACAATTAAGAATTTTTTTGAAAAATCAATCTGTCGATTATATTAATTGATGAAAGCTATAATAGCGTCAGGAGGGATAGAGTCCCAATACATAGAATGTTCTTGAGTAAAAGCTAACGAAGCTAAAGTATGAACATGTAAATTAATCTGTCTAGGCACATAGCTTAACGAAATAAAATTAAATAAAGACATCATTGTCTTGCACTGGTCAATTATCAACCCAGCATACGAGTGAATGGGTGTAATTTGGTGATGTATGGTGAATCGCAGAACCATACAATCCGTGAGCAGATTGGCCGAATTAATACTCCTTTCAACTAACCAGGACAGTGCCTCTTTAAAAGCCATAGCCTCCGCCATGAGTGGTGAAAAACAAACGGGTGATCTGCCATTCTTAGCTGCCACAAACGAGCCACCGGGCTCTAATAACACAATTCCATACGTAGCCTCCCCGGTTTCCTGCCGATACCCCGCATCTATATAGCATCGCATGTGATTATTGGACAACACTGGTTCGGAATGTGGCTGTACATCTTCTCGCGTGGAACGGCCGTGTACCGCCCCATAGGCTTTCAGCAATGTTGTCGCCCCCTTCACAACAGCCTGCGGCCATGACATGGCCCCTTCCCACACGGCTGCATTGCGGCTTCTCCAAATATTGTATAGAACTCCCACCAAAAAGCTATGTTTGTTCCTCGGTTAGAATCGTCATAGCCCCAGTTAACCATGCTGCAAACGAATCTGTAATAATATTCGTGATAGGTAATTGTGTTATATTCCAAACTAATGCAGAATATTCACAATAAACTAATGCATGCAACACATCTTCATTATTAAATCTGCACATAGGACATGTCGGGTCAATCTCCACCCTCTTATTAATTAGATTCGTGGTAGTGGGTAAAATATCACATACTGCTCTCCATAAAAAAGTCTTCCATTTTTGTGGTACTTTCAATTTCCACATCTTAACCCATTTATCAAAATCACCTGGGTTATTCTCATAATCACCAACAATACGCCTGTAAGCATTCTTTACTGAATAAATTCTTTTTGGGTCACCTATTCAGTACCATGAGTCATCATAATCAGGGCTAATAGGAATCATAACTATTCTGCTCACATCCTCAGGATAAATAAATCAGATAAAATATGTGGATCCCATGTTTGTGTTTGTGGGTCAATCAAACCTGCTACTCGTGCCTCTCTCAACTCCTCAGGCATAATTGTTTGTACCAAGGGACTTGGATTATCCTATAGCCATAGGTGTCCCCAAATAAAAATTGTCTCACCATTTCCAATCCTGCGTCTTATCCCAGCTACCATTATTAGATGTGCTGCCATTATACTTCTCCAACAAAAACTTGGGCAATTACCAATAGTAGCATCAACAAAACTAGAAGTGCGGTAATACCTGGCTTTATATATTCTTGCCACCAGAGACTCTGGGTTTGTCAAAAAACGCCATGCCTGCTTGCCCAGCATAGCTAGATTAAAAGCCCTCAATTCCTTGAAACCCAAACCACCAAACTTCTTGGGGATACATAACTTATCACATGCCTTCCAGTGAATCCCCTTATCTCTGCCACTTCCCCACCAGTATCTATTCATGGCTCTCTCAATGGATTGACAAACTGTTTCAGGCAACAAAAAAACACTCATTGAAAAAGTTGGCATAGATTGAGCCACACTTTTCAATAAACTTCCTTACCAGCCTGAGATAATAACTTTGTGCTCCACGATCCAATCCTCTGCCTGATCTTTTCCTCCACATAGGAAAAAACTGCTCTTTTATTTCTGCCCATAAATGATGGGAGGCCCAGATATTTCCCAAAATTACTTGCCTGCACTACCACAAGACAGTCTGCCACCTGCGTTCTGACCATGTGGTGGGTATTTCGGCTAAAACATATATTTGACTTGTTATAATTCACCACATGTCCAGATAGTTTCTCATACCTCATCAAACATTCTTTAATCACCGTAGCCTCATGAATATTCGCTTTAAAGAAAAGCAGGCTGTCATCTGCAAAGAATAAATGAGACACCGGGGGAGCACCCCTGGCCACTCTACATCCATGTATAGATCCTGTCATCTGTTCCTTCTGCAACAACATCGAAAGTGCCTCAGCACAGATAATGAATAAATAAGGAGAAATAGGATCTCCCTGTCTGAGCCCACGAGTCGGTTTGACCCGTCCCCCCACCTCCCCATTCACCATTACAGTATAGCTTACTGTTGTCACACACAACATTATTAGATTAACCCATTTATCACTAAAACCCAGCACTGTCAACATTTTTTCCAGAAAACCCCATTCCATTCTATCGTATGCTTTTGACATGTCCAACTTCAGTGCACTCCAGCCTACTACACCACACTGCTTCCTGTTCAAGTAGTGACCCACCTCAGCTGCCACCAAGATATTATCTGTAATTAACCTGTCAGGCATAAATGCACTTTGGGATTCTGAGATGATATCTCCCATCAAAACTTTCATTCTGTTTGCCAACATCTTTGCCATTATCCTATAAATGACATTACTTAACGCAATCGGTCTCAAATCTGCAACTGTCTCTGGGACCTCTTTTTTAGGAATCAATACTATGTTAGTATCATTCAGACCTTCTGGAAACACCCCAGAATTCAAAGCATGCAATATAAAATCAGACACATCATCCCCCACAATAGACCAAAAGTGTTGATAGAAACCCGGATTCATTCCATCCGGGCCTGGTGCTTTATCCGGGAACATAGAAAAGAGTGCGGTTTTTACCTCTTCTTTCAAAAAAGACTGATTCAACACCTCATTATTCTCATTCGACACACGGGGGGCAAAATCATTAAAGAGAGGATCATCACAGCTTAAATTATTGGAAGCAAATATGCTCTTAAAATAATCCAGAATCACCGAATGCATATCTGTATCCTCCACCCAATCCCCACCCTCATTCTTAATATTAGCAATAAAATTCTTCTTTCTACGGGCAGAAGCATACCTGTGATAGAACTTGGTGTTAGCATCTGCACCCGGGAGCCAGTGTTGTTTTGCACGCTGTCTCCAAAATACATCCTCCTGGGCCTCCAATTGTTTTAACTGATTCTCATTCTGTTGGAATTCGGCCAATGCGACCGGATCCGTTATATCACAGAACCCCTCTTGCTGCCTCTGCAATTGCCCTATTCGGTGACCAAATTTATGGAAATGGTCCCCCCCCCCCCCCCCCCCCCACCTCATCAACTTCATACCACAAAAGTGCTGACAGTGCAACAAGCCCTCCGGCCTCCCCTCCTGCCAGGCTGTTTCCACCACCTCCTTGCACCCCTCATCCAATAACCATGCATTTTCAAATCTAAACCTCCTCGGTCCTCTTACTCTACGTATACTGAGAGCATTTATATTGAGAAACAGAGCCGAGTGATCTGATTCTCTAGTCTGCATATTCTTCACCCATGCATTCTCATTCATACCACCCCACTCCTCCGTAATAAGCACCTTATCAAGCCTCTCATGTATCCAATTCACTGTGCCTTTACTCTTATCCCATGTAAACTGGCGTCCCCGCATCGGCATTTGCACCAAACCACACTCATCAATGGTTTCCCCAAACCCTCGTAAGAGGCTATTCGGGTATGGATTTCCCCCCTCTTTTCATGTTGATAGAGAAAATTATTAAAATCCCCTATCACCACCCAGGGTAACCCAGATCTATTCTTCAACATACTCAGCAGCTCCCAAGTTTCCTGTCTTCTATTTCGATCCGGACATCCATATATACATGTCATACGCCATAACTTGCCATTCATACTAACCTCAATATCAATATGGTTGAGCGAGTAACTCAACAATCTAGCCGTGTTGTTCTTCTTCCAAAGGAGTGCCATACCCCCACTCAGGCCTTCATTATTCACAAAAACAAACCCTCATAATCAAGCCTGACACGGACTCTCTCCGCATGACTCCGTGCCACCTTGGTTTCCATTAAAAACACAAACTCTGGCTTCTTACGAGACACCAGGTCCACTACTTCTCGAA